ATAAATAAAGTTTTGATAGATGAAGATTTAGCTATTATGGCGTAAGATATGATTTAGAATAAAAGAGAATTGTATGTATTGAACTACATAAACTGAGAGAATGTAAGCAAACTTATTAGAAAAGATGTCAGTAAGAAACTTTGGTTTCATAGTTTGGACTCTGAATATTTTCTCATTATGGGTTAATGATGGCGCAATCCTCCTTTGACCACCTCATTGAGTGTGCACAAGCAGATAATTATTGTTTTCTTTCAGTGTATAATCATCCATACCTCTGCAATGTGTCTTTTGAGAAGAAATGTTCCCGAAGCCACTGTAAAATGTATCAATTGCTGGAAGCTGGAGTTAAACCTGCAGCAAATGCATTTTAAAAAGCATTGTATTCTAATCAGTTAATCGCAGTAGTTAGGGACATACAGGGGCTCTCAATCTCGTTTCTAACACTGACACTTTTCACTTTTAACAGTTCTTTAGTAGACCTCCTTTCCCTCTGTCCTGTTTTAAATCACCGCAGTACACTGCAAGTGTAAGTGGTAAAGCTGACAGCTAGATACTCTGTGCACTATAATAATGTTTTGCTCTTCTTTCACAACTAACTGTTGCACCAATGAAACTGCAGTATCAGAATGGAGTCTACCATCTGTTTTTGTTTCTTGTCTGTTTTTCATAAGACTAAGTTCCCTTTCTAAATATTTCATCAGTAGCAAATTGAATCGGAAAAATCCACATAGGTGATTTCTTGTCAGAAATCAAATTAAAAAAAAAATAATTAAAAATATACTTGCAATAATTGTGTAGTGCCTGTGTGGTACTTGTCTAATATCTTCCAGCATCGTAAGTTCTTAGAAACCCAAACCTATCTATATATTCATTTGCAAAGTATCCTGCATTGCAAAGGACACTTAATGGTGGAAAACAATAATGTCATATTTCTGCAAAAAGCAAAGAAAAATCTGTTTCTACTCAGGATTGTTCTAAGAAAAACTGCAGAATATCTGTCCGCTGAGGAGAAATTATATGAGATTCAAGTGCTGTAATTTGCAATGAAGAGGAAGAACAACTGTAAGATGAGAGCAGGTTTAACTAACTAGAAAAGTCATGTAAGTTCATATTAAGTCAAAAGAAGACTAGTAAGTTGTCACTGTATGGAATTAAATTTATCAATGCATTTAGTACTCACAGTTCAGAAATGTTCAGTATTTGAAGAACTGCATTTTCAGTTCACATAATCCAATTAAAAATATTTAATCATAGCAATGTAAGAAGTTCTGAAAGACAAAGTGTGAAATTGGTTGACAATATTTGTCTCATGATTTATTTTCCCATTTCTTCTCTTTGTGATGGCATGTAAAGCAAAATAATATGAACATTTTATTCTATTAGACTATGATGTTAGTTTTAGTGAAGCTACAGTTGTACAAATAATGCAATTAAATACAAGTCAACATCAAATCTACTAACTTTTTTAAAATGAATGTAGAGAAATAGCTTTCTGACTATTTAGCAGTGGTAACTGCTAAAAGTTAATGAGTGAATTTTTGATATGGCATTTCAAATTCATTCATTTTTGTCCTATCCAATCCCTAATTCCATCATAAACTGAAGTGTAGAATTTGTTAAATAATACACACTGACAACATATTTCTGTGGCTATGTACTTTAGTACAGTATTTTATTGTTCAGTTTATACAAAGACCACAAAGAATATTTCTCAAAATTAGTCATGACAATTTGTTTTGGAAAAAAGTTTTAAAATTCAAAACACAAAAAATGAGAGTGTCATAACTTTACGAATACCTCCAAATAAAAGTTCTCTATTTTCTTTCTTGTTTTTCCCCAGATCTGACACACAAAATAAAAAAAGCTGCTTGCTTTGATCTGAAAAGACGGTACTTCTTAGGGAGCTAAACTTTCTTTACTAATTTTGGAATGACTGTTAATGCTAATAGAAATTAGAAAAAAAAGACAAATTAAATTTATTTGCTCAAATTAGGCTTAAACATTATGCTAGCAATCAAGAGGAGATACTAACCTGAGTATTATGTAAAGGCATTTTGTCAAATCAGTTTGTGCCTATGGCTGTACAGCCAATATGGAAAATTCAGCATGAATATTAAAGATAGAAAGCACCTTGCCTGATGGTGAGCATTTGCAGAAGCTTGCCAGTGGATTAAAAAGGGAGTGTTTGTAAAAAGGAATGGTCTGACTTCAAAAAAAGAAAAGGATATTTTGGGTGGTTAATTTCATTACAGTAAGAATATGTCTGCTTTTTGTCCTAATAATTTCAGATGTCTCTCTCCAGGACTAAAATATAAAAGCATTCAAAAATCTCTCGGCAAAAGAGGGAAAAAAATCTTGTTTATTTATTTTTTGATGCTATATGAAGATGCAAAAATTTCTGGGTACAGTAAGATGTACTGACTATCTAAATTCTTTTCCAGCATCTCTTTTAACAGATTGAAGCTTACTAATCATCAAAACTTTCTACTGAACCCCTGGCTTCTGAGGAAATTAGCAATCCAATTCATATTCTGTGTTTCTGGGCACAAGATGACTCTGTTTGATTATAGTTAATATTCTTCTATATTTAGCTTAAAAAAATTCTTCGAGTTCACAAATTCTACTGCTACAGCTCAAACATTATGAGCTTTATTGCCTTTCTGCTTTCATTACCTCTTTTCTGTTTTCCTGCATCAGTTTTTTGTAGATAGCAGTATTAGCTTTTATGTATTTTTTAGCATTCTGTCTAAATTTTTAAATATTTCTTAGTCTGAGTTTTAATTTTGAGGTGAGTTTTAGCACTATATCAAATCCAAAAATATAATTTTTTCAAGTGTCAAAACACCACTGTTTCCTCCTACAAGTATATTTGTCTTTATGAATCTATCTCTATGTGTCTCAAGAATAAGGTAAAATCAGCTGCAAAGCAAACATAAGCATTAGCAGCACATGATAAATTGTCATCACACTAAAATTATTTACTGGAGTTTTTAATATCAAAGTTACTAATACAATTCGAAGCAGTGTTTCTTAAAGGATAATATTTAAAACTATTGGCTTTATACTTTTTTAGTATTTTGGGTTAGACAACCACACATATGAATCACTGTGTGCCACTAACACCCACAGGACACAGCCACCTTTCGCATTACCCATGCATTTTCTAAGTTACTTTTCTTTTTGTTCTGTAGCTGTTTATTATCTTATCTTGCATTCTGAAACTTTCACAGTGTGTCATACTGAGCACGGTTCAAACAAAGTTTTCTGTCAAAACTCTGAACTGAATTTCATAGATAGCAGTGAATTGAGAACACTCAGGACTGTGGCTCTGCTTCGCATTACATAATAATCTTCCAGTCATTCCACCCAGCTTGTGACAAATACGTGCTCTGGTTTATTACATACCAAAATGGTTCTTAGACCACAGTACTATCTTTCCCCTACTCTTGCCACATCAGTTTATATTTTAAAGGAAGAAAGGAGTTTTGTGTGGATTGCACTGAAAATTGTGCTGTTTTAGGCATGAAACTATTACAGGGGCTTGCACGTGAGTTTGATGTGGGGAAAGCTGCAAGAAATGATAGGAACCATGGTTCTTATCTTCTGCATGTGGGGGTATATATATGTTTACTCTTGAAAAAAATATCAGTATGTTTACTGTATGTGTGATAAAGTGGCAATTATTTTCTGCCCTTCTAATAGTATGCACTTTCTAGATATCTTTTGGATAGATGCTGGATTAATTTAGTTTCACTATTTTCCTCTACTATATTACTTTCTGACTAAATAATGGATTTATATATAAGTTCATACAAGTTTAATGGTTTCCATGTAGCACTGGAACTGATATACTCTCTCATGTCAAAACTTTGTAAAATAATAATGGCATCACTGCATAAAATTATTAATGTCATCGAGTATAGGGATTTATAAAGTCTTGGATTTTCTTATGCCACACTCACATTGTGATCTAAAACATATGTGAAAGATTGGGTAAATTAAACAGTATTATCAATACTGAAATAAGGTGTTACTGTAAATTCTTTTGATTCATTAGGAGAAAAAAGAATAATTTTTCATCTGTGATATAAAGGATACCCACAGTAATCACTACATTTTTGCATTACTATAGAAAGAAAAGATCAAACAGAGGAATATTCTAAGGGACAAATCTGTCTCCTCACCGGACCTAATGAATTTTGCAGATAATTGTACCAGTAGTTGAGGAAATAAATAAACAGTATATTAACAATAAACTGTGAAAAACTCCTAAGCTTCTTGCAACATCTCCTTATGGAGATGTTTGGTCTCATGTTGACTATGTCCAGCTAGAAATTTCTCATATCTCTCCCCAGTAAAACCACCAAGGGTGTCTTTTTGAGGGAATATTATCTACTCTTGTATGTTCTGATAATCAAGCTTGTACTTTGTCATTCATTAAGCATTCCTTTTGTGCCCTAGTAGTGTAATGTCTTTTCTGTCTTACAGAGATGGTTTTGGCAGAAAGGAAATTATTTTCTCTTAACACATTCAATGACATTTTTATTGCAGTACTTTCAATGTCTTTCCTCTCTTTTCTTTGCAATAGGTTTTTCATTCTATATCCTGGATATCAGATTTCAAAAGGACCATGGGATTTGTTTAATTTTAAAGCATTATTACATTAGCATTGCTAATTAATAGATAAATTATTAACACAAATTACTGCCATGGAACTTCATAAGCATGAAGGCACATACATACAAAATCGGCAATTTAATGTAGCAATTACTGTAAACGTGGCTGTCAATAGTTCATGAATCTTATATGACGATCCTTGAGGATTCAAATTTTATGTATTTATGTTTTTACATACACATTTATGAAAGTACTCAAAGATATACGTATGTTTAATGCAGGCATATATTTTTTTATTAGTTCGCAGTTATACCTGACTTTCCTAAGCATACATTTCATCCAAAGAGTGCCATATGTAATCAGTCAAAAATGCAAGGCCTTACCTTTAGAATCAGGACTTGATTTCTTAGATCTGTTATATTTCACTTCCTCAGCACGCTGTACCCTAAGGTCTGTGATCAGCACTACAGTCAGAATACCAGGCATGACCTCTATATATACACAATTCAGTAATAGCAACAAGTGAATACTTGTTTCAGTTTCACATTTATCAAATGATATTCCTCTTAGAAAGAGATCCTTCAAGCAAACACTTAATCTGCATGGAATTGCGAGTGATCTTGATGATACACTTAGGGGAAAAAAAAAGGAGATTATTGTACAACACGGCAGATGAAAATACCCGCAGCCATTGCACGTACCACTCATTCTGTTAACCATGTAATATACATTGTCATTTTGACGTGTAGACTATTTCTCTTCCTCTATCACCTCCATGTCAATCCAATTCACTCATTCTTGCCAATGATGAAATGAAAAAAAAAAAAAGGAAAGAAAAGGAAACAGGGAAAGATTGTTATCCCAGATCTGCATTTGCGGTAGATTTTAAAGCCAGTTAGATTAACCATTGGGAAGATGTTAGTCTAGATAAGAGAATCCCCACTGGTTTTCTGTCTCCCTTAGACAATGAAATCACGTAGCTGTGTCTGTGCCTCTGTTTTGGATTGTTCTGTTTTAACACATAACAGATTGAGGGCTGCCTACTATTCCTAATTAACTCAAGTTAAACTAATGAGAGAGAGGGTGGAGGGAGTGCCAAAAAAAGAAAAGAGATCATGAGTTGGAAGAGATTGAATTACAACTTAAAGGGGATGGAGAAAGGAAAAGAAAAAAGGAAGAAGGGGGAGGAGATGCAAATAGGGTTAAGGCTGAAAAGTAGGGAAGAAGAAGAGCCTGAGAACAGATTTGCGCTTCATTTCCAACAAAAGGCAAAGATGTCTTGCAAAATCATCAAAGCAATATAAGCAATTCAACATTGTGCTGTCAGATTCTTTCTTCTAGTTAGAGAATACTTCAGCACCCACTACTGTCCTGGTTCTGCTCTCATACTACTGTTACAGGTAGGTTAGTTGTTGGGCTTGACAGCACAACCTGTAATGAAATGGCAGTTTTAAAGTAAAGTGAGAGTCAATTTTCAAGTGTGCATATATTGTGTTCAGTGCAATGTTTAGAAGGGCGCTTTTTTGCCCCAGGCTCAGGAGAAGACTGGCCAAAAATCCCATGTTTCTGTGCCTGAGGTTTCCTCTCTCTAGCTGAGATGGGGATGGGAGCCTGCAGAAGGCAGAAAGGACAACAGGAGTGTTTGCTGTGGTTGCAGCTGAGGCTGTAGGGCTTGCCAGGAGTAAGACCTCACCTCTTCAATGGATGTCCCTGCTCCAGATTCAGGTTGGGACGGAGAAAAGAGGGGTGGTAAAAACTAGGGAGACAATGTGAGAAGTAGAGGTGGAAGGGGAGAGCGGATTATGAAAGGGAGGCCAGCAGGCTGGGGGGAGACAGTCACTGTGGGTCAGGTTGAAGAAAAGAAGAGCAGTGAAGAAAACATGGTGTCAGACCAAGGGAGGGGAAGGGGTAGAACAAACCAGAAAAATGAGGGAAACACTGAGAAAGCAGTGGGAGAGGCTCAAAACAGAGCAGAGCTGGGTGAGGAGGAGTTTCAGCGATCAACGTGCTGTGGAGAGAGGAAGAGGAGAAAGGCAGGAGATGCAAGGGCCAGGGATGTAGCCTAGTCCTCACCACTCAAGCCCAGAACCAGAAGCTCTTGCTGGACTCCATGCCTGTATATGCCTGCACACACCTGCATGCAAGTGTGCATGTAGCACTTGCTTCTTTACTGTAACCCAGATTAGGGTTAATGACAGCACTGACTAATTCAACAAAACCCTAAGGGCTGTGACAGGTAAGCAGGAAGAAAATAGCCAGCTAGTTTTGGCTGGCTGTGGTTATTCGTGTCTAACAAGGCCAGCTCGTCGCCAGGCTCTGTGCAGATGAAATGAAGCAATGGGCTGAAGCAGGGCAAAGGACGCGCCATGTCCTGACAGGCCGAGGTGTGACCTGACAAATCCTAACCACCCTGGACGTCTTTGGAACAGCAAGGAGAGGGACGACATGAGCACAGGGTGCTGGGGCACAGCTGGGGCTTGGACTTTGGGGAGAATGAGCTGGTTAGGGAGGATGGGAAAGGGGGGCTCTACAACACCTTGTTTCAGACTGAACACAAAAAGCAAATTAATTACAAATTCAGGCAATGGAGGACAGAGTTTTGCAGGTTGTCTGAGATTTTTCTTTTTATTTTTCCAAGGAAATTGTTTCATACTTCCATTTCACATAGGGAAAAATAACTTAAAAAATTCCAACATCTTCAGCAGAGGGTTTTTTTGGTTTGGTTTTTTTTTTTTCATTTTAGTCCTTTTTATTCCTGGGGCAGGGTATGTCCTGTATAAGAAGAACACAAATATTAGCTTTCTAAATGCACTAAGTCATTTTGAACACCCACAGAACTTAATATATTGCACTGGCAAAGAGGTGTGGTTGCAATAATCATAAGATAAACATGTTGTGGATAGTACATTTCTACAGTTATGGGAATATTCATTTTCCTGACGTGTATACACCCAGGTCCATATGACCCAGAGAATTTACTTACCTACAAATATACCTCACTTGAAAACTTTTAGGAGAAGCTGTTGTAGAACACTGAGGGATGTTCTATTTTAACCTGCACCTAATTCTAGCTGTTTGACAAAGCAAGGATGAAAGGAGAATTTAAATTGTAATTTTAAATTCAAAAGTATTGATTGAAAATTCTAGTTACCTTTAAACAGTTCCTTGCATGGGACATACTGCTACTAGGGTTTAGAAGCTAGCAAACAGAGATGTAAAGGAATACATATGTAGTTACAGGTCAGCTATGTTTTGCATCCACTGCTATCATAATTTGCCTCCCAAAAAAGAAAATAATATGAGAGAATGATTACTGAAGAGAAAAAAGTCTATATATTAGGCTTTATTTCCCTTAGTAATGCAAAGTCAGTAGAATATACTTTTGTTCTGAGTAGGATAGATTTGACTCTAAGTGAGAGGAGAAGTCCCAGCTGACTGGAAATTAGTGAACACTGTCCCAGTTTTCAAAAAAAGCAAAAAGGATGACCCTGGAAACCACAGGCCTGTCAGTGGTTCTCACTTCAGTGCCTGGTAAAGTTATGGAGACAATTATTCTGGAAAGTGTTGAAAAGCACCTGAAGGACAACACAGTCATTGGTCACAGCCAGCACAGTTTCATGAGAGGAAAGTCCTGCTTATCAAACCTGATTCCCTGTTATGACAAGGTAACCCACACAGTTGATCAAGGGAAGCCATGTGATGTAATCCTTTTGGATTTCAGCAAAGCTTTTGATACTGTGTCTCACACAATATCGTTCTGGACAGAATGCACATCATGCAGTGAGTGAACAATCGGCTCACAGGCCAAGCACAGATGGTAACAGTGAACGGAGTAACAGCAGACTGGTGACCTGTCACTAGTGGGGTTCTGCAGGGCTCCATCTTAGGCCCTGTGCTCTTCAACATCTTCATGAATAACTTGGACCCAGGACTAGAAGCAAATTCATAGATGATATGAAATTGGGAGGAGCTGTTGACTCCCTAGAAGGCAGGGAGGCCTTGCAGAAAAATCTCAACGAATTAGGGGACTGAGCAATCACCAACAATATGAAGTTCAACAAGGGGAAGTGATGGGCACATGGGATGGGGCAAACCCTGGATGTTCATATGGACTGTGGAATGAGATGCTGGAAAGCAGTGCCATAGAAAAGGACCTGGGGATCCTGGTCATGACAGATTGAATATGAGTCAGCAGTGCCCTGGCAGCCAGGAAGGTCAACCATGTCCTGGGAGGCATCAGGCAAAGGGGAGTGTCTCACTCTGCTCTGCACTGGGGCAGCCTCATCTTGAATATTGTGAGCAGTTTGGGACACCACAATATAAGAAAGATATTAAGCTATTAGAGAATATCCAAAGGAAGGGAATAAAGGTGGTGAAGGGCCTTGAGGGGAAGGTGTATGAGAAGTAGTTGAGGTCACTTGGTGTGTTCGGCCTGGAGAAGAGGAGACTGAGGGGAGATCTCATCTCAGTCCACAACTTCCTAATGAGAGGAAGTGGAAGGACAGGCACTGATCTCTTCCCTGTGGTGACCAGTGACAGACCCAAGGGAATGGCCTGAAGTTGTGTCAGAGAAGGTTTCGGTTAGATATTAGAAAAGGGTTCTTCATCCAGAGTGTGGTTGGGCACTGGAATGGTCTCCCTTGGAAAGCGATCCCAGCACCAAGCCTGCCAAAATTCAAGAAGTGTTTGGACAATGCTCTCAGGCACATAGTGTGACTCTTGGAGATGGTTCTGTGCAGGGCTAAGAGTTGGATTCCATGATCCTTCTGGGTCCCTTCCAACTCAGAATATTCTGTCATTCTGTCATTTTGTGACTTTTACCTCACTGTCACATTTCAAAAGTACAAGAATAAATTGTGACAGGGGGTAGATTTAGGCTGCTGCATTTCACCTTGCAAATATCACACCTGGGATTAGTATTTTACAGAAGGCATATTACGGTTAACATACAGTGCTGTATGACAAAACCAGTCACCTGGGTGCAGGATGCCAAAAAGGTGACTGTTAGACTATTTTTATACTTGATTATCTAGAACATATAACTTCTGTGCTCATGACAGCATTCTGTGTCTTTGTACTGGAAAATACACAAGTTAGAAATGTCTGATTCCAAATATTTAGAATATACATATATTTTTAAAGATAAAAAGCAAACAAAATAGTTTTTCTGTGGTTTTGTCAGTTTTAACTAGTAGATCCTTCTGTATTGCACCTGTGTGCACACATAGATAAATGGGAAAGATCAAATTTCCAAAGTTGTAAATTAACTTAATCTTTCTGAAATGGGTCTTCTACAGTGCATAATAGCTTTTTTCCCCTTATCAAAGAGACTCTTGCACACATTTATAAATTCAGATAAATGTTTTATAACATCTGAAAAATTGTGTTTGTGAGAAAACAGAAGAAAAGGGAAAAGTGATGACAATTTGGCTGAAGTCCCAGTAAAAATAGGCAAAACTCTGTAGAGAGCTGATGTTAAACCTGTTACATACAATATTACACTACATATTTATGCAAAGTTAATGTAGATAGTCCTATCTCACTAGACTAGACTAGAGTATAACTCTTCTTTGGCTAAGTGAAGCTATAGCAGACTGCTCCAGCCATGGATAACCTTACATAACAGGCTGCCAGAAATGAAGGTTTACAACTTCTGTGAGATTTTGTAAACTGAATTGTCGTAGGCTTAGGCATCAAGTGTTTGACCTCTCTAGTTCTCAGGAAGGCTGAAAATGAATTGAGGACATAAGGAAGGGATACAGCCCCAGTTTGCACCTTTTGCCCATCTGCTTGCTGGAATAGCTTGCTAAAAGAAGTATTAGGTTAGATTTTTCTTTTCTGAACTGACACAGTAATGGGAATGATTGCAGAAAAATTAAAATCAACTACTTGGAGAACTAGAGGTTTTCCAAAATACATAGACGCAAATCCCAACTTACAGAAAGTAAGATCTTGAGTCAAAGAGGGAAAAAAATCAGAAAAAATATGAAAATGTGCTCTTTTGGTATAGTTCTGATGTAGAAAAAGTGTGATTTGTATCACACAGTGTAAATAACAAGAAACTAAATTTAGCTTACTGTTATGTGTTGAAATCAATGAAGTTATACCAGCTAAAAATTTTCTATCACATTTATCTGTAGTAGTCCTTCCTTCCAGATTGGGTTGCACTGAATAATAGAGAATTTCTCATTCCTCTCATTCATATCAAAGTATTATTTTTTAATTTCTGTAATTAACTTTAAGTTATTAAAACATAATTTGTTTTGGGAAGATAGGTCCAAAGTCAAGTCAATAATAACATCTCCTGAGTAATACTTATCATAGACTTCTTGGGTAAATCACCCCAGAAATAGATTTTGCTTT